CATCCTGCTGTCTTAAGGACCTGCTGTAGTGTCCAGGACCTGCTGTAGTGTCCAGGACCTGCAGTACTGTCCAGGACCTGCTGTAGTGTACAGGACCTGCTGTACTGTCCAAGACCTGCTGTACTGTCCAGGACCTGCTGTACTGTCCAGGACCTGCTGGTGTGTCCAGGACCTGCTGGAGTGTCCAGGACCTGCTGTACTGTCCAGGACCTGCTGTACTATCCAGGACCTGCTGGTGTGTCCAGGACCTGCTGGAGTGTCCAGGACCTGCTGGAGTGTCCAGGACCTGCTGGAGTGTCCAGGACCTGCTGGAGTGTCCAGGACCTGTTGGAGTGTCCAGGACCTGCTGGAGTGTCCAGGACCTGCTGGAGTGTCCAGGACCTGCTGGAGTGTCCAGGACCTGCTGGAGTGTCCAGGACCTGCTGGAGTGTCCAGGACCTGCTGGAGTGTCCAGGACCTGCTGGAGTGTCCAGGACCTGCTGGAGTGTCCAGGACCTGCTGGAGTGTCCAGGACCTGCTGGAGTGTCCAGGACCTGCTGGAGTGTCCAGGACCTGCTGGAGTGTCCAGGACCTGCTGGAGTGTCCAGGACCTGCTGGAGTGTTCAGGGCGCCACGTCCTGGAAGGTGTGGTGAGCTAATTACTGACGATGTCACAGACTGATATTTGAAACTGCTTGAAGAGTGTTAAAGATGTTTGAGGGTTCCTTAAAGATGTTTGAGCATGTCTGAAGACGAATGAACATTTGAGTTTTTTCCTCTTTAGACTAAAACGAATTTGATAATGTCATTATTATTTTTTCAATATATCATTTTTGTTAACATTTTAACCACTAACAATATATCAATGTTAACAAAGAACACTTTGTCTTATCTCTGCGTTATTACCACTATATCAAAGCTCTTGAGTGGAATTACTTATCTCTTGTTGGGGGTTGATCACCAGAGGCTCACGAATATGGGGTCAGAGGTCAACCTGGGAGGGGGGGAGGGGGGGCAGAGCCTGCGTTTCCGGGTACCTCCGTATTGTTCCTTACTTTAATATTTTAAATATTAAAAATATTTATATATTAATATTATATATTAAATATATTAATGTCTATATCATTCGTCTTATCATTGTTAAAATATATTAACCTGTTATTATTAAACAAATTAACACAATTTGTATGTGTAAACTACCCACGTTTTCTCTATCAACCTGACGACACCATCTACCATACTGCTTGTGTAAAGGAGGAAATGTATATGTTTATCTCTCAGAATGTTCGGTAATACGTTTATTGCTTGTGATGTGTGTCTATGTATGTATTAACACGTTGTACTGAACGGGGTGAGAATAGCTTGAGCTACCTCATCCCTTTGTGTGTATTTTACCTCAATAAACTTATTTTAATTTCAATTTCAATTTCAATTTCTACCTATCTGCCGCCCCAGCCAGCACCAGGCTAACACTGACACACCCGCCAGCCCTCCCCCGTCACCTTCCTCCTCCCCACAGAGAACTGGGTCCACTGTGACCAGTCCCACCAGTGGTAGTGCGCCTCTGTGTCCCGGCTCTCCCTAAGACAAAGGCAGCAAGGTAACTGGGTAAAACCACCTTGGAGACCCATGAGGTATGTCACCATTTTGAAGTCTCCGATGGCCTCCCAGGCGGGCTTATCATACCTCAAGGCCTCCAGCAGGTCTTTGAGGATTACCGAAAACTTGAGAAAGTTTTAGAAGTTACACCGTTGTACTAAGTACTGAATCTGGAATGTTCAGGAAGAAAGGTAATTTATAAAATATAACTGTCCTGGTCACAAGAGCAAAGTTTGAAGGGAATAATAGCAATTTTCTATACTTTGGAGGCATAAATAATTAAGAAATAACACTTAACAACAATTTGTTAATTTGTTCCAACAACCAGGAACAACAACAACAGAGCCAAAGTAGCGGAAGGAAGATCTACTGCGATGTGGTACAAACAAGCCACTGGGTACTACTCTTTCAAACCTGGCAAAAAGATATCCAGAGACATTGCAGTATCCATACACAGACTCAGACTTGGTTACAAGTGCTGCTGGGAGGTAATAAACCCAATAGTTAATGAGTGTCATATCTGTGGAACAGAAGCAGAGGCGCCACTATTGCACTACTTACTGGAATGTGAAGCTACTGAACCCCTGCGCATCACACTCAACTTCAATCCAACGACAGCAGCTTCACTAGATGCACATTCCACAGCCACTACAATGATTATAAAATCCGTTAAAGAATAGAACTCACTAGTGAACATTCTGCATCTACATCCGCCACCAAGATAATGTTATTAAAACACGACTAAAACAGAAGCGAAAAAGAAACGGGGAAAAAGGAGGAAACCCCACCTCCATTTAAAACTTTGACCCAAATATCAGAGTAACAAGGTTAACACGAATAACCGAACTCAATTACGGGCTCACCATAGCCCGTGCTACATGGACATTTCGTTCTGAGTAGCTAAATCAGGAACAGGAACAATAACAACAGGAAGAACAAAAAATAAATAAAAATTTGTTACAAAGAGTAAGGGAAGGTAATTATCAGCAGAAAGCACTAAGCCGTTAAGACTTATATAGCCCTTGAAAGGGATATGGAGGATAATAATTTAGGATAAGACGAAGGAAAGAAATGGTGCCCAACCACTTAGACGGTCGGGGATTGAACGCCGACCTACAAGAAACGAGGCAGTCGCTCTACCGTCCAGCCCAAGGGGATCAGTGTCACAAGTGAGGAACGTCCTGCCTGGAGGGTTGACGTTGCTAAATTAAGTCTTTTGCCAATGAAGACTTAATTAAGTCTTTGCCAATTAAGACTTAATTGGCAAAGTCTAAAATTTGTCAATTAAGTCTTATCCAACAACAAAGTTTTGTTAACGCTGAAAATTATTTTCCCATTTAACTTCATTACGGCTTATATCAGATTACAAAATAGCTTAGCTTTCTCTAGGCCAGGGTAGTGTATGTTGCAGGGTGGTTAGCTGATCATGTTATTGTTACTTGGGTAATGTTTTAATCCAGCCCGGGTACGAACGCAACGTTGTGTCCGGATACGAACCCAACGTTGTGTCCGGATACGAACCCAACGTTGTGTCTGCTACACTGGCCTCTCAGTGCTGTCCTGTCTGCGACTCTGTGTTCAGTGAGGTCCAGCTCTCTGTGTTCACTCATCACAGCGTCTAACAACACACTAAAATTTGTGGAGAGAAATCAAGATATAATGAAACTGACTTCTCAGAAATGAATAAAATTACTTTAATTAAACTTTACAATCTAAACGGATGTGTGTCAGTAGCTTCCAATACATACAGGGAATATCAGAATTCAACCTGGATCTGGGATGGTGAGGGAGGAGGAGGAGCGGGCGGCGTCCTGCACCACACCGCGACAATCATCATAATGACTGCAGGCGGCGCGGTGCTTCGCGGGGGAAAACCCGCATCCGGCATCAACCGTTTTCTTTAATCTTACTAACATATACGACGAATTTCTTTGCACAGACTAAGAAATAGTTGCAAAAAAGTATAAATCTTCTTCGGTATTTAATGAATTGTTATATATATTTCATGATTTACATTTGTTTTGATATTAGTGATTCAGAGTCGGCGCTGAAACGTTAACCCTAAGACTTGTGCATCATGCCACTGATAACTGTCAATACTTGTATTTTTAGCTATTTTAATTTCTTATGACAATAATTATTCAATCATGATTGAGACAGGTACGCACGTCAGCAGGACCGGCCACCCTGTCTGACCGGCCACCCTGTCTGACCGGCCACCCTGTCTGACCGGCCACCCTGTCAGACCGGCCACCCTGTCTGACCGGCCACCCTGTCTGACCGGCCACCCTGTCAGACCGGCCACCCTGTCAGACCGGCCACCCTGTCAGACCGGCCACAGTCAAGTAGGCCACCCTCCCTGACCGGCCACCCTGTCAGACCGGCCACCCTGTCAGACCGGCCACAGTCAAGTAGGCCACCCTCCCTGACCGGCCACCCTGTCAGACCGGCCACCCTGTCAGACCGGCCACAGTCAAGTAGGCCACCCTCCCTGACCGGCCACCCTGTCAGACCGGCCACCCTGTCAGACCGGCCACAGTCAAGTAGGCCACCCTCCCTGACCGGCCACCCTGTCAGACCGGCCACCCTGTCAGACCGGCCACAGTCAAGTAGGCCACCCTCCCTGACCGGCCACCCTGTCAGACCGGCCACCCTGTCAGACCGGCCACAGTCAAGTAGGCCACCCTCCCTGACCGGCCACCCTGTCAGACCGGCCACCCTGTCAGACCGGCCACCCTGTCAGACCGGCCACAGTCAAGTAGGCCACCCTCCCTGACCGGCCACCCTGTCAGACCGGCCACCCTGTCAGACCGGCCACAGTCAAGTAGGCCACCCTCCCTGACCGGCCACCCTGTCAGACCGGCCAGGTCGTCGTTGATACTTTTGTCAACAATCCAAGTCTGGCGACGCACCAACACTTTTCCCAACAGTAAATTACAGAAAACTGTCATGAAATTAAACTTATTTTCTCTCCTATCTTGAAGTTATCTTGAGATGATTTCGGGGCTTAGCGTCCCCGCGGCCCGGTCCTCGACCAGGCCTCCTTTTTGTTACACATCCCCCAGGAAGCAGCCCGTAGCAGCTGTCTAACCCCCAGGTACCTATTTACTGCTAGGTGAACATGTGCATCAGGGTGAAAGAAACTCTGCCCATTCGTTTCCGCCTCCATTGGGGATCGAACCCGGAACCTCAGAACTACGAATCCCCAGCGCTGTCCACTCAGTTGTGAGGCCCCTATCCACTGATTCATTGTACTACCTCCAAATCCTCAGTTTCACCTCAAATATTAAAGAAAATACTATAAGGAAACTCTATTATGATTTACGATATATGAAAAAGCCTGACTGAACGAAGATTCCACAGATAATAGTCAACGGTGTAAAAAACGGTCATATATGAGGTAGGTAGTAACAGGAGGATGAGGGGGAGGAGGAGGTGATATAAGGCGGCGCCGGGCGTGGCCGGAGCAGTTGTTGTGCAGTGTGTGCTGGCGGGCGGTAACGTCGGCTCCTCAGACACAGTGAGTATTGACACACACTCATAATATTTGTTATGCACACGATTTTCTTGTCGGATTTGTTGTCTTGACAGATTGACACGAGCCTGGAGGTAACTAGTGAATTCGAAAAGTTAAAAATACTTAAACAATATACAGGGTGTGAGATTTTAATCACAGTGGCACCTGACTTTGATCTGAGCATATATTAACACCTATTGCATTACTTTTTAAACACAAATCTGCTATTAGACCCTGTGAGCCATCACATATTCATTTATGCATTTAAGACATATATAAATGCCTAAAAATTCATTAATTCGAATTTCAAGATAACTAGCCTCTACTGGCTTATTTCTGTAGTATAGAGGACGACACGCGTCTCATGCTTGACAAGGTTGAATGAATGCGCGTGGCTGAACTCTGATGAACTATGTAAGTACGCTTAGCCGAACCTCGTTGAATAATGTATATACGCCTTGTAGAACCCTGAAGAACCACGCACATACGCATGGCCGAACCTCATACAACGACGCACATGTACATGACCAAACCCCGTACAACGTTGCAAATACGCATACCCGAACAACCGAATGACGGACGTACGAATTGTCGAAACCTATAGAACGACGCACATACGCACAGCTAAACCCAGTGGCAGTGGAACGACACTGAAATTTTATAACCCTATGAAAATTTTCCTTTTCAATAATATTAAAACACGCCTTGTGCCTACCTGTCCACAATGATATCGACAATATCTTTTTAGGATCAAACATATGAAATAGTTCCATTATTCTATCTGATGTACACTGAAAATGGAATTGGGTCTATACGAACACCTGAAGGTCTGAAATCAGGTGGTCTATGCGAATGGAGTGATAACCTCTTCCGGAGATTTCAACGGATAAAAATAGCAATCTTCGGCGGCTAGCTGCAGGACTGACAAGAATATTATATATATATATATATATATACACAAAATCTTAGAACACTTTCCCACCAGGAGATTCGAACCCTAGCCAGCACAGAAGCCTTACAGCAACTGGCATAACTGGTACGCCTTTAACCCACTGCACCACAGCTCAGACGTGTCTGAGCTATAAGTATAAGTGTCTGAGTATAAGTAGTATGAGTTTAATACATATGAGTATGTATTTGTATGAGTTTAGTATATAATATATGAGTATAAGTGTCTGAGCTGTGGTGCAGTGGGTTAAAGGCTTACCAGTTATGCGAGTTGCTGTAAGGCTTCTGTGCTGGCTAGGGTTCGAATCTCCTGGTGGGAAAGTGTTCTAAGATTGTATAATCTCTCTTGCGTGTTTAGGCAAGTTGTGCATATATATATATATATATATATATATATATATATATATATATATATATATATATATATATATATATATATATATTTTATTGGTGTATACTGGCAGCAGGTTTTCTTTTAAACATGTCTCACTGAATATGACCGCATATTCAGTATTTACTATCTTCTGATTTAGGGCTTCTATCCCTCTAACTATTTTCTTAGCATCAAGGCTTAGCTGAAAGAGGAGTTCTCCAAAACTCATTTTCGTAATTTCAAGGTGAAGAAAAAAGTGAATTGCTATAGAATGTATTACACTTATTTATACAATTTGCACGTTTCGAACCTCACGAGGTTCTAAACGTTGAGACCCGACCAGGACTCCCGACGTACACAGTACTATGTCGTGCGGTACATACGACGTATACAGTATGTTAGTGAAAATGACGATAAGGGTTAGATTAATGATTCTAATCACGAATCGTCTCTAGATTTGTTATTCACTTTTAATGAGACTTATCAGTGTCGTTAAAAGACGCGCTTTGCTAAAGCACTTTAACATCTTCGGAGGCAGAATGACGGTGAATGTAAACTGACAGACAAGAGTGTGTGTATGGCATGCAGGCATGAGGAGCGGCTCATCCTGGTGAGAGGACCCTGTAATCCTGGCCTATATTCTCCTTGTTCAGCTCGGGCAGTAGGTAGTGTAGACGTTTAGTTCTGTCTGGTCGTGTGGATGGTTGAGTGTAGTCCGGCTGCATCGGAATATTTTAGTGCTGCTGGTCCAGATATACCTATTGCTTGTCTATTTGTGTGTCGAATTGGCATGATCTTTGAAAATATTGTTAATGCATTGTCAGTACAGTACCTTGAAACAAAAGATATATGATGTCGTCGTACCTGTATGTTAGTATCGTTGGGGGGTCGAGTGACCCCAAGTCTGACAATGCATAAATACTAAGACTTTCAAAGATCTCATCATTTCAGAACAACTGCACCATCACCACAGATATCCTGATGTGCAATATTGAAATAATTGCATTTTGCCTTATGGGGGAATGGTTGTTTGATTTGCCTCGAGGCTGGAGCTCCCATCACGAAGTTTAAAATTAAAAACTTTTGTGAATGATATAGCTATAATTGGAGAGTTCCTTGGGCAATTTTGGTGCCATTGGTGAATTCAAAGAGCGTGCTAGATATTAGGGCATATATTTAAGAAAGATTAGTTGGCAGGAACAGGTGGCTGGTTCCTTGTGTTGCGGGAGGCGTGTTGTGGAGGCCAACAACACTTATTGTAGACCCTGTATCCCTGTATCCTCTGTATCCCTGCATCCTCCTAGGTCCGGACAACCTGTCTTCTCGCATAACATCGTATCTTGACGTAAAAATCCCCACCGTCAAAATAAGATGCATTAAAAATTATCATAGCTGGCAAAATTAGCGTGATTTTCCGTTTTTTATTAGTGGGTCCTCGGTCATGTTAAGTTTGGGAAATTTAGTACATAATATTTTGTGGGGTTGTGAACGGTGGAGAGGACGGCCTTCCTGGTGACCACGGCCGTGTTGGGACTGCCAGGGCAGAGGGAAGGTGAAAGATAATATAAGAATTAGAAGACTAACACCAGGCCTGAGGGTGAGGGAAGAGTTCCTCGGAAGGAGTGTGATTTAAGGCAGGTGAAGGCTTTGGATGACAAGGCACTCTACTTTTATGTAAATCATATAGACAGCAAGAATGGATGTGGACGACTTTAAACATTCAAAGAGGAGAACTGTTAACTAAGATGTTGGGATATATTCAGGGAAGAGGTAAGGGAGAGAGGGTGCAGTAGAGTTTTGGGGAAGGTCATAGGTTCAATACAAGGGCAAGGAGGGAGGAGAATTGGCAAATGAAGGTATTCAAGCGATAACTAACGAGAGGTTTTCAGACGAGGACTGACATTTATGCATACCTGACAACTGAAACGTAAATATCAAAATACGAAGAATTATAACTTAGTGAGTGTTAAGAGAGCAAGGTGCCCCAGTGTGGGGTTGTAGAGCAAGGTGCCCCAGTGTGGGGTTGTAGAGCAAGGTGCCCCAGTGTGGGGTTGTAGAGCAAGGTGCCCCAGTGTGGGGTTGTAGAGCAAGGTGCCCCAGTGTGGGGTTGTAGAGCAAGGTGCCCCAGTGTGGGGTTGTAGAGCAAGGTGCTCCAGTGTGGGGTTGTAGAGCAAGGTGCCCCAGTGTGGGGTTGTAGAGCAAGGTGCCCCAGTGTGGGGGTTGTAGAGCAAGGTGCCCCAGTGTGGGGTTGTAGAGCAAGGTGCCCCAGTGTGGGGTTGTAGAGCAAGGTGCCCCAGTGTGGGGTTGTAGAGCAAGGTGCCCCAGTGTGGGGGTTGTAGAGCAAGGTGCCCCAGTGTGGGGTTGTAGAGCAAGGTGCCCCAGTGTGGGGGTTGTAGAGCAAGGTGCCCCAGTGTGGGGCTGTAGAGCAAGGTGCCCCAGTGTGGGGTTGTAGAGCAAGGTGCTCCAGTGTGGGGTTGTAGAGCAAGGTGCCCCAGTGTGGGGTTGTAGAGCAAGGTGCCCCAGTGTGGGGGTTGTAGAGCAAGGTGCCCCAGTGTGGGGTTGTAGAGCAAGGTGCCCCAGTGTGGGGTTGTAGAGCAAGGTGCTCCAGTGTGGGGTTGTAGAGCAAGGTGCCCCAGTGTGGGGTTGTAGAGCAAGGTGCCCCAGTGTGGGGTTGTAGAGCAAGGTGCCCCAGTGTGGGGTTGTAGAGCAAGGTGCCCCAGTGTGGGGTTGTAGAGCAAGGTGCCCCAGTGTGGGGTTGTAGAGCAAGGTACCCCAGTGTGGGGTTGTAGAGCAAGGTGCCCCAGTGTGGGGTTGTAGAGCAAGGTGCCCCAGTGTGGGGTTGTAGAGCAAGGTGCCCCAGTGTGGGGTTGTAGAGCAAGGTGCCCCAGTGTGGGGTTGTAGAGCAAGGTGCCCCAGTGTGGGGTTGTAGAGCAAGGTGCCCCAGTGTGGGGTTGTAGAGCAAGGTGCCCCAGTGTGGGGTTGTAGAGCAAGGTACCCCAGTGTGGGGTTGTAGAGCAAGGTGCCCCAGTGTGGGGTTGTAGAGCAAGGTGCCCCAGTGTGGGGTTGTAGAGCAAGGTGCTCCAGTGTGGGGTTGTAGAGCAAGGTGCCCCAGTGTGGGGTTGTAGAGCAAGGTGCCCCAGTATGGGGTTATAACGGAATATCACTGAGACAGTCGCGGTTGAGATGAGGAACAGATTTGTCTGGCGTCTTCGTAAAGTATTATAACGTGGAATAGCAGTTAATCTGACTTGCGGAACGTCAGCAACACTGATAAAATAAAGCAGCCTTGGGAACAACTTTTGCTACGACTGAGCACAGTTCACTTACTGTCCGCCCCGCGAGGCGGGTCGTCCTGTGTGCAAAACAAGACATTAAATGACGCACCGGCTCCAATACTTGGCTCAAGGCATAAATCCTCCCCGACCCCAAAATATAAAGCATCCACCATCTCCACTGATAACGGATAAAAACCCTGATAAGCAAATATAGAAACTAAGTGAAGAATGACGCCGCTATATACAAGTTCCTGTACAAGGTTTTAAATCACTTGGGCAAGGCGGGAGTCCTGGAATATTGCGTCATCAGCTGTGAAGCGGACACGGAGAGACCGTCTAGGGCGGCTGGAGGTCATTATCAAGGCCAACCACCATCTTCCGTTACAATGCTCACTCCTTTTTCCACT